GATATGAAACCGTTTCAACGTTTCAAGATTACACTGATGAATATCACAAAAAATATTAAGCGACCACGTCACCATACCAGGTTCACTTCACCCCATTCCACTGCAACAATTTATCGATATTTCGGCAACTGCTTTATATTATTGAACTATTAAATATAATATAATAATGTGCTTCTCGATTTTTCCTTACTAGAGTGGCTCATCATTTTTTGTAATTATTACCATTGATTATAAATACTAGTATTTAAAATCAATGTTGTTACTATTATTATTGTTATAATTTAATGAATCGACGATTCGAAATATGTTATGCATACTGCCTACCTATATCATAATTTTTAATTTTTTAAATTTGTTTTTAATATTGTATCTATAAAGTAAAACTTGAAAAAACGCATTGCCTAATAATTATATAAATTTATATTTAAAAAAAACACAAAGCTGAAATTAATTGTTTACAGAATTATACATGTGACGTGTAATGAATGTAAAACCAAATATATTGGAACCCAGTGGCCCACATAATATGTTGAAAAAGGGGTAGTAGAAAAAAAAACAATTTTAAAACATTTAAAATATAAAACTAATGGATTATGTAAATTTAAAAATAATGCTTACTCTGTAATTAATGTGTAAAGTAATCACTTATTATGCCTACATTTAAAATTTTTAGATATATCAAAAAAAATATTACAAAATTATTGAATTCCTTAAAAACGGTCAGAATCCAATCCCTAAGAAAAATGTATATTTAATTATATTTAAATTATTATTAATGTATAAATATAATACCATTGTAACAGATTAAGTTATGTTTAAATGTACGTCAAATGATTTGTAAAATATTTCGTATTGTGTGCAACGAAGCATTTACGTAATTTTTTTGAGATAGTAATTTTTAGTAATTTAAATAGTAACTAATTTATAATATTTTCTTTGATTAACTTATTTAAAATGTGTTCATAATAAGTGATTATTTTACACTGTCACTAACTACAAATGTATGCACTTTTTAAATGTTCATAATCAATTAGTAGGTATTATCACAGAATAAATGAAATTATTAATATAAATTATTAATTTATTTTGTGGTATTATATTTAGCATTTTTAAAAATTGTTCTATTTTTCTGTTGTTCTTTTTTCCGTGTTCTTTCATTTCTTGGTCTTTTTTTCGGGATTCTGCCAAAAGTGTTTAATCAATACAAAAAATTAAAAAACAAAACGGTAATGTTTAAATATTATAATAAAATTTAAAAGTAAGTTAAAATGTATTTAATATTTGTTTTAAACATTGAACATAGATTGGATTTTTATTTTAACAATTCTTAATAATATACTTGATTTTAATATTCTCTAATTGTTGAACTTATATGATATTTAAATACGATATAATATTCATTGAATATTTAAATGATAAGTATAGCTATATATTGCCTACCTACCTATATATATATTTTGTACTTAAACATCAATAATGTGGTAACTGGTAACCATCGTTTAAAAATCATTTGTTCAATCATTTTCGTGTGATTTTGAGTAATATTGTAGTTTAGGGAATTTTATTCCGAAATTCTATAATCAATATAAATAAAAAACCAAATATGAAGACGTTTGAATGGTGAGCAAACGCTGTGAAAATAACATTTATTGACGAGAAACTGAGAAAGACAGGGAAAATTCTCGAACGTTCCATCGCACCATTGTTATATTATATTTATTAGGTAGGTATGGTGAAAAGTGAAAACTAAAATTACAGTACGACACAAGAAGTGGTGAGGTAGGGCGGCGGCGCGGCGCAGACGGCTGTGCTCTCGAAACGTACCGAACGTTCTCGAACATTCGGTCGGATATATAAACACTAGACGCGCGGTCCCCGGCATCAGTTTGAATTCGAAGCGGTAATAGTGCGATTCATTGAACGATTCAAATCTATCTTGTGCGACTCTCAGTGTCATACGCGAAACTATAATTATTATTCGACATATTAAAGCGCTGTGTTACATTTGAACAAAAAGTGAATTTATCGATTTTGCTCTAAATTACCAGTGACATATTTTACAAGTACCTATACAGTGCTATAACTTTGATATTGTATACGATTAAGCATAGTTTTTTTTTTTTTTGTATTAATTATTGTGCCCGTGCATATAGTTGACAACTGTATTACATAATCGTCAGAATGGTTAAGAGAACAGCGATTGGTATCGACCTGGGTACCACCTATTCGTGTGTGGGTATCTGGCAACACGGAAAAGTAGAGGTCATCGCCAACGATCAAGGAAACAGGACCACCCCGAGTTATGTGGCGTTCACCGACACCGAACGGTTGATCGGCGACGCGGCCAAGAACCAGGTTGCAATGAACCCTGTCAATACGGTGTTCGACGCCAAACGATTGATCGGCCGTCGATTTGACGACGACAAGACGCAAGCGGACATTAAACACTGGCCGTTCAAAGTGGTGAACGATTTCGGTAAGCCCAAGATCCAAGTGGAATTCAAGGGCGAACGGAAGGTATTCGCCCCGGAAGAAATCAGTTCAATGGTGCTGACGAAGATGAAGGAGACGGCGGAAGCGTACTTGGGCCGCGAAGTGACGGACGCCGTGATCACGGTGCCCGCGTACTTCAACGATTCGCAGAGACAAGCGACCAAGGACGCGGGCGCCATAGCCGGTCTGAACGTGATGCGAATAATCAACGAACCGACGGCTGCGGCTTTGGCTTACGGTCTGGACAAGAACCTGAAAGGCGAGAGGAACGTGTTGATATTCGATCTGGGCGGTGGCACGTTCGACGTGTCCGTTCTGCAGATCGACGAGGGTTCGATATTCGAAGTGAAGTCGACGGCGGGTGACACGCACTTGGGCGGCGAAGACTTCGACAACCGACTGGTGTCGCATTTGGCCGAAGAGTTCAAGAGGAAATCTAAAAAGGACGTGCACTCCAATCCGAGAGCGTTGAGACGGTTGAGGACGGCCGCAGAACGGGCCAAGAGAACACTGTCGTCCAGTTCGGAGGCCACCATAGAGATCGACGCCCTGATGGAAGGCATCGATTTCTACACACGAGTGTCCCGAGCCCGTTTCGAAGAACTGTGCGCCGATCTGTTCAGATCGACCCTGCAGCCGGTAGAGAAGGCATTGGCGGACGCCAAGTTGGACAAGGGAGACATACACGACGTGGTGCTCGTGGGCGGTTCGACGCGAATCCCGAAGATCCAGAGTCTCCTGCAAAACTATTTCTGCGGCAAGTCGCTCAACCTGTCCATCAACCCCGACGAGGCGGTAGCGTACGGCGCCGCGGTACAGGCGGCCATTCTGAGCGGCGACACGAGTTCTGCGATTCAAGATGTGTTGCTCGTGGACGTCACTCCGCTGTCACTGGGCATCGAGACCGCGGGCGGCGTGATGACCAAAATCGTCGACCGCAATTCAACCATTCCGTGCAAGCAGACCCAAACGTTCACCACTTATGCGGACAACCAGCCGGCCGTCACCATCCAGGTGTTCGAAGGAGAAAGGGCCATGACCAAGGACAACAACCTGTTGGGAACTTTCGACCTGACCGGCATACCTCCGGCGCCCAGAGGTACGCCCAAGATTGAGGTGACTTTCGACATGGATGCCAACGGTATTTTGAACGTGTCGGCAAAGGACAACAGCTCTGGCCGCTCCAAGAATATTGTCATCAAGAACGACAAGGGCCGCCTGTCTCAGGCCGAAATCGATCGTATGCTCAGCGAGGCCGAACGGTACAAGGAAGAGGACGAACGACAGAAAGCTAAGATCGCGGCCAAGAACCAGTTGGAGAGCTACGTGTTTGGGGTTAAACAAGCGTTGGACGAGGCAGGTGACAGGTTGACCGAATCGGAAAGGAACACCGGCAAACAGGAATGCGACGCGGTCGTCCAGTGGCTGGACAACAATCAGTTGGCAGACAAAGAAGAGTACGAGTACAAACTAAAGGAAATCCAAAAGAGTTGTTCGGCTCTCATGATGAAGATACACGGCGCAGGACAAGCCGGTGGTGCTCCTCATCCCGGCGCTCAAGGTTTCCCCGGTGCTCAAGGTTGCCCCGGTGCTCGTCCGGGAGGACCTACCATCGAAGAAGTCGATTAATTCCTTTGATAATGTAATTTCATTATATATTTTGTAAATTATGTCCTATATTCCCGTTGTTAAGTATCCACTAGATTTAAGTTAAGACTGATTTTTCTTTTGTAATATTTACCTACATTTTCTTTAAATAAATGTTATTTATTTATATACATCTTACGTTTTTATTTGTCCCGGAAAAATAGTACTACCATTTATTGATTATTATTTACACAGCAATGAAAACTTTCTGCAAGTGACATATCTTTATAGGTATGAGAGTGCCACACGTGGTATTCTAATTATTTTTAATCAATCAATGAGTAAATAAAATGATAATTTACAAGTAACAGTAGAATGTTTCAAGTCGCGGTTTTTGGTGGAGCTCGTTATTTTTGAATTACTAAAAAATACCTAACTAAAACCGCAGAATGAAATTTAAATTGTATATTTTCCTAGTAATATGCAATTATATCAACAATTTTGTTAATCCAAATGGTTGAACTCAAATATATCGGAAAAAAAATTTTAAAAATTACGCCTAAGTATAATATATTTACTCACCATGCTTGCAGAATTCGACAAATTCGATATTTTGTTTTTTTAAAATTAAAATGAGTAACCGTAGACGCTTGAAATTGTCAACAAATACTTTGAATTTATACCTTCTACCCCAAGCATAACTCAAGTATAATATGATTCTATCGATTTATTTTTCTAGATAATATTGATTTGGCGGGTAAATTTTTTAAAATAATTATTCAAGGAAAAACCAATTTACAGAGCTGCCAAAGTTTCGAACGTAAATCCCCATTCCCGCCCCAGACAGCCTGCAAATTTTTCCCGCTTTTATTTTATCAACGGAACATCAGCAGCAGCTATCAACAATGACAATAACAATAAAATATGAGAATGTTATGAGATTTACGAAAAGTTGCGACAAGTGGTCGTTCTCTCGTTCCTCGTTCGGGTTCGGCTCGTTGACCTCACGGTGAGGTTAGTTGCTAAACAGTAAATGCGTAGAAAAAAATTCAAATAACCCCTGCATTGACAGTATTTATAATAACTGGTTTGCCGGTGGTTACTGGTCAACAAAATAACAAATTAGTTACGAGCTCTGAGAACGAACACGAAGTCCCGTGAACTTTATCTGTTTCATTTTGAAATCTGTGTGTTTTCAAAATCGGTCTTGATTTTGAAGATTTCTTACGTACGCAGACCCAAAAGCGCATTATTACTGGCTTTCGTGGCCTTTTTGTTAGTACTGCTACGTAGATATATTGTTATACATAAAATACAGTAAGTGGGTTTTTTCAAGAATTTTAGTTAATGTTAGTTATGGATATCTATAAATTGTTTTTTAAGTATTGTTATTTTTAATTGGTATTGATTTTATATTGTAAGAATATAACTATTATTTTCTGATTGGGTTATATAGTGCCATGAATTGCAGTTTAATTTCCATTTGTAAAAAATAAATAAAATTTTTTGCTGCAAATTATTTAATATTTTTATTCTAATTACCTACCAACTAAAAAAATCTTTAAATTTTTTTTTATCCTCCCTAATATTGAAATGTATTGAAATATTGTATCTTAGTTTGGATTTATTAATTCAGTAGGTATTCAATAATAATTTTTACAAAATATCCTAATTTAAGCTAAATTAAGTTTTTGGTTTTAGTTTTATTGTAACATGAAGAAGCAGATAATTCAAAAACCATTCCGTGTAGCTGTTGAAGGAAATGTTGGGTCTGGAAAATCAACATTAATAAAGTATTTTGAAAAGTTTAAGGAAGTTGAAACAAATCCTGTGAGTGCAATTTTTCTATTAATTAGTTTTTATAGGTGATTAGGTAGTGAATAACATTAAGTACTTTTAATAACTCTACAGTTATACTAAGCAATATTACATTTTCATGTAATTCAAAATATTTTTAAAATTTTAATTTATATATTATTGTAATATATTTTGTAGGAACCAATAGAAACATGGCGAGATTTAAATGGTCATAACTTACTTCAACTAACATACTCAGATCCTCACAGATGGAATTTTGCTTTTCAACATAATGTACAATTAAGTCGTTTGAATTTACAGTCAAAAGCTACAACTAAAGACATACAAATTTTTGAACGTTCATTACAAAATAATAGGTAATATTAGAATATAAACAGCTCTTATTACACCATGAATTTGAATGAACTAAAAATGTCACAATATAAGTACTATCCAAATTGCAATAAAAAAAAATTTGTAAATAGGTTATAATAAAATAAAATGTACACATTTGTATCTTGTCCAAAAATTTTAAACTGTTTAAATGTACCATATTGTTTTTATTTTGTTTTGGAGTTTTAAGGTAATTTTAATAACATATTTTTTGCATTTACGTCAGGTTAGCTTTTTACTTTATTCTGATAGTATCATAATTTAGAAAAATTAGGCATGCTCAATCCTCATGATTGAAAAATTAAACAGTCCGCCCATGATTTCTATAAGTTTCTTAGAATCATGCAATAAGAGCATAATGGTAGTTACTAATAATTTTTCCGGCGATCAAAATAATAGTTTAAAGTCATCAAGGCATATTTTTTCGCAGCTTAGTCAATCTTTGCAAAACCAGATTACTTAAATAACATATAGAGTAATTTATATTATAAATCCACGAATAAGCATATTCTAAGGATTGATATTTAATTTAACTTATTAATTTCTATCATTGTTGAATTGTTCATATATTTATACAAATTGTCTTGTATAAAGGATCATTTTTCTCTGTTTATTATAATAATACAATATTATTTTTTTTAGATATTGTTTTGTGGAGATGGCTCATGACAAAGGATTATTATCTAGTCCTGAATATGGAGTAATGTGCCAATGGTATGAATACATTGAAACAAATGTTGACATTGGACTAGACCTAATTGGTAAGAACCATGCATTAATTATTCCTATACTATAACAATTGTTTACAAATTATTCAGTTATTTACCATTTTATTTTCAAAAAGTTTATCTTTAAAATATTTATTTTTGTATATCTGCATACTCAGTCTCAATTAAGAGTAACCTTAGTTGGAGACCATATTTTGTTTGATTTGGTCACCTTACATCCATCAATTAAATTTATTTTTGTCAACTTTGGTTGTCAGCTTTCATTTCCTACTACCGCCCGCAGCCAAAACATTTCTTTACTGTGTTAATTTTTGCAAAATACAAATTAGGCGGTTGTTAGATTAATAGAGGTTAGGTTAAAGGGTATTGAGAGCTTGGCACTTGTTAGCCACACACTTGTCACACTCTGCAAACACAGACTGAGGTTACTCTTATCCGAGTGAGATTGTGCAATATACTAAAAAAAATAGTTTGATTTTTTTCTGACCAATTCTGAATTCGTTAGTTTTAAATTACATGAAGTATTAATAATCCTGAACTAAATTGTCTTTAATCGATTATGCATTTTAAAAATGTTCTATTAAATATGATAATTTAAATGTTTTTTGTGCTTGGTTATAGTTTATTTATTTACTTTTTTTTCAGACTAAATTTTTTTAAGATAGTTAATGGTCATTTTTAATGTTTCAGTGTATCTAAGAAGCTTACCAGACATTGTCTATACAAGAATGCAACGTCGCAATCGTCCAGAAGAACGTACTGTAAAACTTGATTATTTGGTAGATTTACATGAATATTATGAAAAATGGCTGATGGAGAAATATTATAATCTCCCATGTTCATTATTGGTGATAGATGTCAACAAAGACTTATCTGACAATCAGCTTATAGATATATATAAAACTTATGAAGATAGAATTTTAGGAAAAATACCAGTTTTATAATGTTGTAATAATAAGTATCTATAGTAAGTGAAATCATGTGTCAACCAAATTATTCTTTTAAAAATTAATGCTTAAGTAATTTTTGATATTTAATAGGTTTAATTTATACTAATTAGTAATTAGTATTAAAAAAAAAAAAAAAAACATTTTACGCTTAAGACATTGACCATTGTTACCTTAACTTTATTTTAGATTTTATTCTCAAATCTCAACTTTGAATATTTTACATGTTAGTTATATCAACAAAATATTTAATAAACAGTACATATATTTACACATTGTTATGAAATTACATTATATCATTATACAGTTTAACATATACTGTATTCTTTGTGTATATTAACCTTTTTAATTTTTCTTGTTCAACATGTCTTTGTTTCTTTTCGAAGTTTCTGATTGATTTTGATGAAACCTTCGACTATCTAACTCTCCACCCAATCCACCCTTTCTTGTTAATAGATCCGGATTTATACTATACATGCACTCACAGCAGGATGGTAATTTAAAACTTTCATAATATATTTCTTTAGAATCTTTAATGGCAACCAATTTTTTATAGATATATTTTTGTACACAAGTTGTTGTGTATCCAATTGGTAAAAGATCATTAAATTTGCACGTCGTTCCAGCATTTCTATAAAATAATTTAATCAATTCAAATTCTAGAGCATTCTTAATTTTGATACTTACATACATTTCTCCACTCGAATTCCTTGTTTAAAACTGGTATTATCATTATTTGGATCTTGTATAATATAACGCCATTCATTGTTTTTCGTCATACCTGCTTCCGGAAATATTACATCTTCCTAGAAAATATTTTATATGGATTATTTTATGTTATGATAAAAGCCTTGGATATATGAAGTGCTCCAAACTTAAAATGTTTACTGATTCAATGTAGTAAATTCTAGCAGAGTATATTAATATACAAACTGAGTTACAGTTATTGAAAGTATTTGTTTTAATTTCTAAATCACATCCATACACTCAGTATAGATGTATATTTTACTATACTTTTAAACATTTAAGTTTCATGACTGCTCTTATTTATTAAATAAGAAAAATATATCTTAGGGCACATTAATGTTGGTATATTGGCAATGACGCCAAACTACCCACCCACCCCCAGCAACTTCCCAGTCATTTAAATTTAAGAAGTGAAGCAATATGACATGATATATGACTTTGGCGCTACTGTTGATTGGTACTTACTTTTGATTCACAGAATGGTTGAAGATTACTATTGGACAATCTTGTCTCCAAATCATTTATCTAAAGTATAAATACATTTGTTCAATTAACAATTTAATAGGCATCAGTATTATTTGAAATTTATTTTATTACACTAATAAGTAAATGTATAGCATATTGTATACAATATTAAAGATACATACTTCATTTACAGTATCTGTTCCAAAATAAGAAGTTGACATATATTTGCTGGTTCTAAAAATATTGAATAGTTCTTGTCTAAAATAAAATAAACAATTTAAATAGATCAGTTTTTGGGTTTATTTGAAAAATAATTTGATTTAGTATTCACCTTGGATAATTATCAACTTTGATGCAAAAGCTTTCGTTCAATGAACATTTTTCGATTACTTGTTGTTCTGGTACGAATTTGTTGAGTGATTGCATTTTTTCATTCATTGAATTTGGAAAAACAATTGGTGAAGTTTTTGTTTGAGGTAATTTAAAACCAGTGCTGGGTTGCTTATTGGTATTATTGGTTGTATTTTCATTTTTAAATAACGATTTTGTCAAGTTTGCTGATGGTGAATCTCTTACATTTATATTTTTAATATTAATGATAGATGCGTCTCTAAAAATAAAACAATTATAAAAAGCAACGAATTTACAAATACAATTTGGGTTTAATACATATTTAAATCTGAGGATCTTAATAGTAAAGTTGTTATACATGTTTTAAATTAATTAGTTTTTATTGAAAAAAAAATAATGGGTATTAAATTTGGTGTTTAGGTATAAATAATATTGTATTATAATAGTATTATCTCGATCTTAAACTTAAGTCATCAAATTTATTTTGAAAAAAGTAGGCAGGTATAGTATACAAAGATCATCAATGTAAATTGACCTACCTACCAATACCTAGATCACATATTATATTATTATTAATGTGGAGCGAATTAAAAACAAAAATAAAATAATAAAAAGTTACAGCCTACATGGAAGCACCATCTAATAAATATCATTGACCGGAATTTACCAGTACGGCAGTACTCTACACAAAAAATATGAGTTTACCTAGTGAATTAACCCAAACGACAAAACAATTAAGATCATTGTGGAGCTTCTGGATGTCATCTAAAATTTTTAATTCCTTAGCTTAGCTACGCTAAATTCTAATGACTAATGTGTTAATCTTAAGAAATATTTTCATGTTATCAGCAAAGCAAGGCAGCTGACTATATATAGAACAATTTTAATTTAAAAAATACATTTTCTATGACTATCTTCGAAAAGAACAGGTACCTAATGTTTACAAATAATGGGAAAAGTGAGAGGGAGATTTGACTACTGCGAGGGAAACCAGATACAGATAAAAATTATTATAATTTAAGTAATAAGGGTTGTTCACGTTCATTCACATGAAATTTATCACTTTTAATTTGTTAATTGAAATTTAATTTAATTTTAGTGCTTACTTATACATAATAAATGAACAGAGCGATTCACCAGACATGCTCACCCCATGTATTCCCTTTCGGCCTTCATTATAAATTTATTCATTCATATTTTTTGGATTTTTAAGTATATTTACTGAAGGACCATGTCTTAAAATATTTTGTGAGTGTCCTGTTGTGATACCTACAAGTTTTTATTTCAAATGAGAATTACGATTCACTCTGTATAAACTAAGATTGGGAAAAGCTTTTTGAGGGGAGAAGCTAAATAATAAGCAGCCTAATAAACAGTAAGCTTATATAGGCGGTAATGTGGTACATAAAGAAAATAGTTAGGTAAAAAAAAATATAATTTTCATTAAGTAGGTAATATGTTTTCACAATAATTATTAAATTTCTAAAAGACTTTCATTAACTTGCAAGTTATAACTGTGTAAGAAACTTTAAAGAGTCGTTTTTTAAGGAGTTTATAAGAAAATTGAAAATTGTACAGGTGGTACTTGGATGTTGGATATATCGAGAAATCGAGATACATCGATATATGTAACTATATAAGTGGTCGGAAACTGCCGCACTGTGTAATATAAAATATAAATAATTTATGAATGATTCATCTATTAATAAATAAAAATATTGAAACTTTCAAAAATGTTTAATTCATATGGTTCTATAATTGTTATTTTTGGTCGTTTAATTATTAGTTGCGCGTATATTTCTATCTTCCTTTTCCATACAAGGTAGGTAAGTAGGGTATAGGTACCTATAGTAGAAGACTGGTGACTATAGTCACTTATCACTATGCCTATAACAACGTGACGTACAGAATATTTTCTATCTCGTGATGTCCTTATACTTTTAGGTATATACATCATACATTTGCTAATGTTATCCAAATGTTAACATATCATACATTATCTTAGATGATCGGAATTCGGAATACCTACCTACATTTAAAATACATATAAGTTATTTATTGTATTATTGCACACGTATGTAAGTATTTATCATTTATGATCATGGCCGGAACCACCGATAGCACCACGGACCCTCGGCATGAGTGTCGGCGTGTCGCGTACCACCAGGGGGGCACGGACCACAGTTTAAGAACCACTGACATAATGTAGGTAAATTATATAATGAGTATTGAGTAGGTACAATATACTAATTTAAAAAAAATATTAAGAAATCAACGACATTAGAATTTATATAATCAGGAACCTACGGTACCCGCTGATAGCTGATAGGTCATCAATGTCATAATTAGAAATTATATTTTACGCATGCACCAATTCACAAATTGATACACAGATACACAGTATATAGTAATGCAAGGAATTCATAAACATGTATGAAACTATAGTTAATAGTAATAAAGGTAATTATTACCTAATAACTAAGTAGGTACCTAACTACTTGGTATTGGTGAGTTAATTTTTGTATTGTATTTCTAAAAACATTTTCTAATTTTCTATTTTTAGTTTAACTTTGAAATAATAAATAAATAAAACTACCTATTTCATAGATTTTAGTTTTTATTAATTAATAAGGCTAGTAATTAGGTAACGCATAATAAGTTTTTTAAATAGAGGATACTTTTAGCTTATACCTAATGTATACTTAATTAAGGTTTCAAATTATCTTTGTAGTTCTGATAGGAAATAAGTACGTTTTTAAAAAAATTTTGTGTAAAACAAATTAGAAACTTGCACTGTGAAAATGGTTTAGATACCTACATTAAATTTATATCTATTCAATATGAAATTGAATAAAAAAAAAAAAAGATTCTGAGAGAAGCGCGTGGGCGGATCAGTATTTATTTCTAAGGATAGTTTATTTTATATTATATAACTTATAGTTCAAGTTATTATAAATTATTAATATATTTCTTAAGAATTAAGACATTATCTTAAGTAAGATAGGTAGGTAAATTAAACTATTGATTAAATAATAATTGTCGAGGACTAGGTGCAATAAATTACTTTAAATTTGTCTAAATATTTTTAACATTCTATTGTGTACCTTATACATATATAAATTAATAATATAGGTATTAGGTACGTAAAGTCTTGTAAAGAATACTTTTATTTTGTATTCGGAATAAGTATTCGAATTAACTGTTAAAATGGTATTCAGAATACGTATTCGAATAATTTTCAAAAAATATATTTAGAATACATTATGGAACACTCAAAAAATTATACGTACCGTACGTATCGATGAAAAGTTTCAAGTGTCTACGATTATTGTTTTCTTATAGCAAATAAATTACCAAAACCTATCCGATTTAATATCTTCCACCTAATTATTTTATTTTTTAAGTCTTATTTATAAAATCGTAATTTTTTTACAAAAGTATAGTTGGAACTCTTTAACTTATCTTTTATGGTAGGTGGTGTCTAAATTCCACCAATGTACTATTTCATCTCAATATCTCATATAGTTCTATTCTATCCAGCGGATCCATCATTAACCTGCAAGTGCCAACTATGTTATAAACACCTCATTGTCCGAAAAATCATCATTATCTCTCATTACGTACGATTAACTGCAGGCTATTAAAACAATATATACGAACTATTTAATTATATAGCATCGAAATGATCTAAATGGACAATTAAATTCATCAACGAAGGTCTAGTCAGAATGCGTTATAGTTATAAGTCTTAATCTTAAACAAAATACAGGTAGTTCTCTCGATTTTTCTGAACAAAGACATTATACCATCGACCTGACGACCTCCAGTTAAGGTTAAGATAGTTAGGAAAAGTTCCAAAAATTCACATAAATGTTGACGACAGAAACAAATTGTATTGATACCTTACGTTTATTCTACCCTACGCATTATTAATTTTCAAACAACTACATACCTACAAATGTATTCTAGTTAATGGTTTCATAAATAAAAAATGTGTAGCCATATAATATTTAAAAAATGTCATACCTAATATGAATTTATTTTTAGAATCCACATTTTTTTTTATAGATATGTTATCATATATTAAGGTACAATTATGATTTTAGTTAGTGCAATAATGGTAGACACCATATATAATATAGTTACTGAATACCGATAATCATAATTTTTTTTGTCGTGAGTTAAGGCCTATTTTATATAATATAATACAATATATAACCTATACAGGTATAAGAATTACAGATCAACCTACTTTTGATCCTCCTTATAACTTGATGTAGAAATGGCTGTAGCTACAGTAGTATCTTGACCAAAAAAACTTGTTCTTTTCGGTCTGTTCCTTGCAGAAGACCATAAATACCCTTCCCAGTATGAATTATTATAGTATTTTGTGTGTTGTGCTGTTGAACTGGGCCATTGAACCTAAAAATGAAATTAACCTTTTAACCTTTTAGTTAAGATCATTTTAATCAGTAATTAAACTGATTAAAAAACATTGAACATTGAACAATCATGCAATTTCTAGGGCCCCGGGGTCGTTAAAACTAATTAGCCGCGTAAAGTGTAAATGAACACAGCCAAAAAGTTATCTAGTTTATTATGAATATAATTCTTGTAAGTTGTATAGGCTACAATTGAGATTCAATTGAATATTTGATCACTTCATGACTAAGGATTAACTAATAGGTAAATATTTGTTCCAAGAATAATTAACTAACCTATTTAATTAAAAATAAAGTATCCATAAAAACGTAATCACACTCACCCAATTTACGTTAAATAACTACAACAGATTACTGAATAATAATGAGGCAGTATAAAAAAAATTGTATTTACTCAATTTAAAATTGTAATACATTTTTTTCATCCCATAAATTTAGTTATGTATATTATAATAATGTTAAGACTTAAGTGTTAATAATAAATAAATAAATACACTGTGGTATTATTAAGTCTAGATTTTTTCTTCAGGAGTATTAAAAATTAAAGCCTAACATTTTGGAGACCACACTGTCGCCGGGTATTTAAATTCTCTGATTCGATTAAAAGTACTCTGGACTTTACTTTATAGACTTAATAAATTGTGATTGATATGGGTTAGTATATAATTATTAAGTATAGTTCTCCACTGCAAATATAAAACCTAAGTAGGTAATTACTAAAGGCTTTAATGTTTACCATCCTCTATAAAAATACCTACGATTAATATTTGATAGTAAAATAACAACAATTCTATTAAGCAATTTCATAACAATATATTGTCGTTAGATGCCAAAAAATAATAATAGTTATTTTTACTTTTTAATTAAGACATACCTAACACAAATAAAAAGTATAGTCTGAGGATTCTGACCTTATATGCATTTATAATTTAATCATAATTATCTTTTTTGAGAGCCTTATCTTATTAATTTAATAGATTAGGCTAATCGGGTACATCGTATATAATACAGTAAAAGTCGTTGAAAGTAACTGAAAGTTGAATAAAATCAACTTTGAAAAGTTAGTTTGTTATATTATTTAATGAAAAATGACAAATGTACAGGTAAGAATTTGTATTAATATCTAACAACACGCATACGGCATAACTCTATATTTGATTAAAAATCTAGCATAACATGATGTCAGTGTCAAACACGGTACATACAGTCAGAGTTTCTAATTTAGAAAAATTACATGTCACATCACTTTTATCATTTTGTTTCGAGCAGTTATTAAATTACATTCCAAAAATATTTTCAGTAAAATGAGTAATGATTAAATAGTATAATCAATACCTATAATGCGCAAAGATTTCTCATCAGGCGTAGCCAGTATAGGTAGGTACATATAATAGGTATATCACTAAATCGTATATAATTTATGTATAAAAAATAGGTATAATAATAATTATTTGTTAATCGCATTATCCTAAACGTGCGAATGTCTGTAGGAATTTTTATAAAAAAATGTTATAACCTACGTTAAATAAGTCTTGATGCAAATCTGTAAACCCTATTGTACGAAAAATAAATATGTGATGTAATTGGTTACTTTCACACGTCACACATAAATATAAAAATGTATATTTTAATTACATGTCATCTTACAGCATTTTATATTAATCGTAAAACCTTTGAATTATGTCCATGCATATTAATTAGTAACTATCTATTATTATAATATTGCTGGGAGTAGGTTTATTTTTATTACCTCGTACATATAATATTAGTAACCTAATAGATATTATTAGAGAAGGTAATCTTTCAATAATAATATAATTGTATCAATTATTGGATTTGGTAATATATAGGTTATAGGTAGGTAAGTACTAAAAGGGTAGGTGTCAGTACCTACTTCATGTGTACAATTTAAACTATTATTATGGGTTTAATAATACATAGGTACTTTCTATTATTGTCAAGTTTCTTTTCTAAATAAATATTATAAGTTATAAATATAATAAGTAGGTAGGTAAGTAATCAGTAATCACCAATAAACAACCTAGGTAACATGTTTTCATAATATTTTATAAGATATCAAAATGCGTCTGTACAGTAATTGTTAATTAGTATTCTTTAAAGATTCAACATACACAATACACGTCATGCCTATAATTTGGTTATAATAAATAAAAATATTATTAAATTAGATATATTTTTGTCATGTTCTATAATTTGATCACGTATTCGTATCTAGTAAAAAGTTAGGTATAGCTAGGTATCCAATACATATTATTCGATTATTAGTTATTACGGATTCGACATACGCAAGTCAAGTAAAATATTAATTTTTTTCAGATTATAATTAATTTTAATCAACGACGAACTAGGTACGAAGTTAGATCATACATATTAATACCAATTGGCAATTAGGTAAATATCCCAATAAAATTGTTGTATCGGCTATTAGACTAATAATTTATAGTTCCCCCTATAGTATTATATATACGTACCACGTCTTATACCTTAATAATTTAAACGTTGATATTAATTAAGGTACCTATATTATATTATTAGTTTATAACAATTATTATGTTGAGTTTTATTATACATTTATACCCATCGAAATAATCCAATCATAGGTAAGAAAATGAATACCTACTTGTGTAAAAAAATCTATGACACGCGTTACAAATAATAATAACTCAATAATCCTTATGCGTATGACGGTCGGTTTACACCAAGTACATAATATTAATATCGGATCCCTAAATAATATCATACGCACTACACGCGCAATGGACAAAATCGTTGAAACAACAACAAAACCAGTAAATAAGTGTTATTCGTACAAAAATATTTCATTACCGTGCTAATGAGAGCCAGTATAATCATCAGCCACGGCCATTCGGTCATTTTGTCAGGGTTTTCACATCCACGTAAATGCACATATAGTATATACAGCAATGTATGTACATATATTATATACTGTAGACAGTGAAAATTGTGTTCATGTTTTGTATTTTGTTCGACAGATTATTGTAACGATTGATCGATGTGTACGCGTAAGTTTTATATGATATGGTATTGTCGATGCACGCGCAAACGACCACTCGGCTCGACTGCTATTTAAGCACTGCCGCACTGGGCGTCTGGACACTGGCACGATGGCCGATCGTCGATGGCACTTGCCAGCTCTTGTCCATTTGAGCAGTTGGGCGGCAACAGCTATAATAATAATATCTATAATAATTACTAATGCCTTACATTATATTATTATTATTATTATTATTATTATTGTGTGCACGAGCAGTATACGTTGTACCTGTTTTTGCCTACCTGACGCCACTGCAAATTATCAGATCGATTAATAAACATTTAAAAACATACATTCGAATATCAAACACAGACACATAAGGTGCCCACCATTATTACATTTTATCACCGATTATACCAAATTACACCGTAGTAGTGTAGTACTGTACGTCTGTATACACATATAGTGTGCACTGTTGTAGTACGCTACTCGCTACTGTATAATGTGTATAATATAGTATTTATTATGACGTAGAATGTTGTTAAACGTGGTACCTATAATACGCGCGTGTTGTTATTAATCGGCAAATTGGCTACATTCGATCACGCACACACGTCACAGACGTAGAAATTAGTCAGATGATTCGAGTAGGTAGGTGGCCGGAGCAGGGTACCTACCTGGCTACCTATTCAACATTTCGTTATTCAACCAGATTCACTGACTTGTAGAAAATCGTGTACAGTTCATATTGCTTTCCTATTTGATGATATCTAAATATAGGTACCTCGCCTGCACTACCTACCTACTTTCAAATAAGCAGCATCTATAATGACTAATAAGTAAATTACCCGTTACCGGATGGACGTTTTATTTTTTTTCAAGTTCACATTACATTTAAATAATAAATATTGGCATGAACTAGGTAGCTGTCGCCCGTCGTCCATTATTTTTTTTACACTATACCTATGTAAAATGTAATATACGTCATTTATATTATAATAGATATAGCATATATACTATATAAATATATAACGAACAAAACATTCGAAACCTTGCTACAGGTTTTTCTTTAAAAACGCTCCCATACAAGGATATCTACAAGATCATCAGCTGAATATATTATAAATATAATTGAGGAACTACTGAAGAGGGGGTAAATAAGTGTTGAGAGGAAATTAGATTTATATTTTGATGTTTACACGCAGTTATTAAAATATATAAGTTGCATACTTGCATACCTATATAACGTATTATTTATTTATTATTTATCGTTGTTTCTGTTTTTAATAGGTACCTATATTTAATAATAATAAACTTGATAATATTAATAATATAAACTTGAAATTATGGTATATTAACATTAAAAATTAGTTTTGACAACACATTTAATATACCTATTTCAATTATACATACCGACATGTCTAAACTCATTACATATATTGACATATACATAAATAGGTACCTAATACATAAATATATATAAACTTTATTATTATTCATTATGTTAAAATGAGATGATTATAATATTATATATTATGGAAATTAGTAGGTGTACCAATGTATACAGGGTGATTCTAACATTTAACACACTAATTATTATCACAAAACGTTTTTGAAAATATTTTTTTAGTTATTTGGAGTATAATCTTAAACCTATACAAAATGTTTGAAAAAAATTTATACTTTTAATATTTAAATCTTTATAATTATTAAGTTTTTTGGTTTTTTGGATTACAGCACATATTTTTGATTTCAATATTCCAAAGCAAAATATTTTTCTGAAAATGCTGATGTTCAAAAATCTAATTTAAAACGAACAGTGAATTATATTTTAAAACTTTAAATATAATTATATACAAGTAGGTAGGTATTTAAAGTTTAGTCGAGTGAACCACCGTTTTTCGGTGGCCTGGGGGTACCTACCTATTCCGCAGTTCGCTATTACCTTCTATACATATATAAGCTTTAAATACTAATTACTAATTAGGTGTCTAACTAATTAACTGCCTATATTCGTTTGAAACTTGATATTTTACGCATAGAAATTCAATAAAAAATATTCTGTAAAGCAGGTTTATAAATTAAAAACGTAAAAACGTGAATGATTAAATAAAATTACAGTGTAAGCTCTTAATAAAGAGTCCCAACAGACATTTCTTTTGTTACCTATGGATAATTTTGATAACAGATAACAACATTTTGAATAATTTTAAATCTATTAATAATATACAGATAGGTCCTACCTATAACAAATATCATGTTTTTATTAACTCTTCAGGAAGACAATGGGGCCCATAAAAGGGATTGGAAACTCAATTTTAGCCAACGAATGAAATACAGACGTTCTTGGAAATTCTGACATACTCACCGATAATAAATCGTACTGTTAAATGCAAAATGTTAAATACTAAAATTTCGTTATAGAGATCTGAGAGTGACCAATTTGCTACAGATAATAAACACTGTATATGGTCGTACGGCTAATGGGTTATAACAATATAACGTTTAAGCATAGACGCTAAGTCCTATAATGATTTTTATAGGTCTATGTTGGTGTCTGGTGAGGGCGGTAGGGCATAAAACAAACCAACCAAAACAAGTAATGCTTACATTACAAAGAAGTTTCATTGAAGTTGAAAATAAAAATAATGTTTACAAAAACGTTAATTTTTGTCTAGATAATTAATGGTAACAGCTAACAATACAAATAATTATATCCTGTATAGAAATAGTTATATAGTGTATTATATATGTTGAGAAGTTTTATGGAATATAATATAAGGAAAATATGTAGGTACGGTCTGTTTTTACCACGGTTATCTACACAATGTTGATTAGGTATAAAAATAATTACTGTATAATAGCTAGGTACGTTTTAAAAAAAGCGAGAAAGAGGGTAACGCTCTGCTGCAGTACATTAGGTGTCTAGAGAATCACTGTAATGGATGTGTTAAATTTGAATTCTATAATACAAAAAGCGGGTAAGTGGATGTCGCTCGGCTGTACATAAGGTGTCTAGAAGGTCATTGTAATGGATGGCATTAAATTTGAATTCAATGATATAATATCATTGTATACGAAAAAGTAAATGCGATTCTGAGCGGAGATGGAATGTTAGTCTAGGTCCTAGGATATTTGATATTGTAATTAGTCATTACTGTAGGGCTCGGAATAAATGCATTTGCATTTTTTTTTTGGGATATCTTACGCGATGCTTTCCAAGCTACAAATATGTTTCAAGTACTTCGCAATCTACAACCACAATAATTTTTTGGGGCATTTTTTGACGGTTTTAATGCATTTTAAATTTTTTAAGCAAATTTCTGACCTATTTGTCGTATTATGACTAAAAAAATTGACCTCATTGAAATATAAGTACTACATAGTAGTATAGTAATAAAAATTATTTTCATTTTGAACTATTTTAACTAATTTAACATCCGGTTTTCCGGTTTTTACAATCTTTATGTCTTCTATGAATTTTATTTGTTCCTCATTTTTTAATAATAATTAAATTTGAATTTATTTAATAAATTATGTATTTTTAAAACGTCATTTTTTGATATTTTTGGGGCATTTTTTAGAGTTTTTAGGTCATGAATGCATTTTTTTGATATTTTTAGGGGATTTAAATCCGAGCCCTAGTCATTAGTAACTAAAATGTGACGTGTACCTATAACAAAATATAATACACTGTTTATTATGTAAAGACGAGTTCATATTTATATTAAAATTGTACATAAAATACTGTTCACTGCATAAGATATATCAATACGGGTCATGGGGACGTCGGTCGCAGACATCAAAATTTAAATTAAAAATATTCATACAAATAATCTTATTTTTAATGCATAATAATATTAAAACGCATATTTTGTACATTTTGGTGCATATTTAGTGATTTTATAGAGCTACAAGTCCTCTGCCCTAATTATCAGTCTTCTTTGCTCAATAATTAAATAAAAATAAACTAAAAATAAAAATAAACTAAAAATAAAAATAAACTAATAACACTGGGTGAAAAACTTAAATAATATAATTTAAAATCATATACATTTTAATAATAATAATAATTATAACACATTACCTATTTTTAAAAACCAATTTTTATGGTTGCAAGTTACTTATTCACTATGTTCATCTTCGTTTGAATCTTGATAATCTTCATCATGGTTTTTATTAACTTTAAGATTAGTATAAAATTGGTGTTTTATTGGTGGTATAAATGCAAGTAAATCTAACAAATCTTTTTTTTTTTGCTCCAGTTATTGTATGCCTATTGGGATACAATAGATCTAACATTCTTGCATAGTCTTTAATTGTAGATATCCTTTTAACAACATAAACACTGTTAAATGGGAAATCAGGATTATTAGAATATTTATAATTAATTTTAAAATGCTGGTCATTTTTATAATTTAACCATTGTATTTTAAGCCTTTCTATTTTCTGATTTATTGTATCAATTTTTCTATTTGTAATTTGCTTTTCCAGGGATTTGGTTGAAAAAAAATCATTTTTTGTCATATTGACAATTTAAAATGGACTTCTTTTCTTGGCAGATATTATCACTGACTACCAATCATCTGGTACATGGATTTCAGAAAGAAATTTTTTTTGTTTCTCTACTAGACCAAAATCTTGGTCACATGGTAGAAACGAATGCCCAGTAACTAAACATTTATGATAGATTTCATTTACTGTAAATGAGGGACTTGCGACTATGTAATTACACAGAACAGCCATTTTAATATTTCTGTTCTGACCTTCGTACTGGTCAGAATACATATAAGTTTTTGAGAAGTAACATAATTTTTTACATAATGTAAAATGCATGATCTTACCTCTTAAGGTCCTCTTGATGCAATGGATTTATCCCAAACATACATAATAACATTATTGTTACCAAGGTTATGAACTCCAAAGCAATATGTCCATAGTTGCCTTTTATAGTGACATATGCCAGTTGACAAGACATGAGTTGCTAAGGTCTTCATTAGATCAAATGCAATGCAAGTGATATTGTCATTTCCTTTTGCTATAGTTCCATCAAGTTTTCCCCGCGGCGCCGTCGGTTCAAAACTGAAAAAAAAAAGTTCCATCAAGTTGTAGTCTTTCCCGAGCACTATCAGCTTTTTTTTGATGAAGTTCTCTTTCATTTTCTAACACAGCTTTTTCCTTGAAAACTTCAATTTCATATTAAATGTATCATATTTTTTACAGCTGTCTGAGATGGGAGAGTGGAAATGCAAATTAAATTGCTTGTTAAAAACTTCTTGAAAAATATAAAATGATACAGGGTTTGAGCTATCATTTTTAAATTTGGAGATAAATATTTTCTGTTCAAATTTTTTATTCTGGAGTAATGGGACTCATAGCTTGGAAATTTGTTGATAAATTCTTTTATTTCAACAATTTTCAAGTTATCAGTTTTGTTGAACAGAGTGTGTCTACCTCTTTTGTCCCTTGGTGGAGTATTAGAAACCATTTTAGACCTAACGAGCCTTGATATTCGACCATCAGATAAAAAAAATAGTTTTTTAAAAAAATCTTTGCACACTTTTTCATCTTTTCCATTTTCTACTGGCAAATAATATTCTCTTGTAAATTTTCTTCTTGAAGTGTCATTATTTGTTGTATAACTTCTTTTTTTATCAATAACTTTTATCAAACCAAATAGATAAGCCGATTGAAAAAATCAAAACTATCCATTTGAAATAACTTAGAATTAAGATATTTTTGTTTTGAATCTGGGATTAAATTATGGCATTTATTGAAACACACACACCACTGGTAAAAATGTTTTTGGTGGCATTAACTTTCCCCTAAACTAGTATAGGTTTCACCACGAAGCTTTTTAATTTTTCTGACATTTTTAACCCAAGTGTGTTTATTTTGTTTTCTTTTTTTAGAAACAATCCTAGATTCATCTTCCAAATTTTCGTTTCTTCTGTCTAATACTGTTTCAGAAGCTGTTAACAGTCAGAAATTATGAAATATTAAGCATAAACTATTATTTTTAAATTTATTTCTAACCTGTTTGTAAGATATAATTATTCACATAGTTTGAATCATTTTCAGCTCTTTCTTCCTTAGATTCACTAATGTGTGACCTGTTAGAATCGTAACCATCAGGTATATAGTCAGATCCAGAATCCTCAAAAAAGTCTGATTCAGAATCTATTTACAAATATTTATTTACACTAAATTATTATAAACTATGCAAAAACAATATTTATTTTAAACTATTAATCTTAAATTTGTTTCTTACCTGCTTCTAAAACATAATTTATATCATTCACATCCATTGTTTTTTAATGACTTTTGGAAAATTATGGTCAAATCTCAATGAATCCTATACTAAATTAATGAATAAAAGTTCATTACTTAACCCTGTAAGACTTTGTGTACCAATTAACAATCTATTATTAGATTAGATTCAACAGATTGAAAATAACTTTATAATCAATTTTATGATTTTATCAGCAGGCAGCGTCTGCAGCCTAACATATTGGCGGCAAATTAATCTGAAAACCACGATGTAGATAAAACCCTTAGATCATATTTATATCATATGTATATGATCTAAGATAAAACCACAGAATAGATTAAATTAAAACCTTTAAAAATTATACCTACATCGTGCTGAAAACTATAATGGCCTCACCCCCCTCCCTATCAACAGGTTGGGCCATTTTAGCACTGAAAATAATAATTTAAATATCAATGCCAAAACGAATTATGTGCTGCCATCTAGCGAATAGTTTTTTCCGAGGAATAGGCCATAGTGGATTTCAAATATTTTATCAATTTTAAAAAGTTTTATCAAATCGAACGGAATTTGAATTTTTGTGGGTTAAGCTGTTGTGATTCTAAGCGCCCCGTATTATATTACATAAGTAAAACCGAAAATGGTTAAATTTGTATATAGACTTGCAATTCAAAACATTGAGATCAATATTTGGAAATGTAGAAAAGTTTTGTCTATTTTAATTTTGGCTTATACATACTACTACTGATTTTAAACACTTACTAGTTGTTAATTTCTATTTGTTGAACAAATATATTTTAAAAAAAACAGATATTAAATTTTTCCAAAAAACATCATATTATGAGAATACATTGACATACAATTTTGTTCTTGTGTCATTGTATTATAGTCTGCATATGTTTACATACGTTTGGAAGTGTGCAAACATGCCAGATATTGTTAATATTGCGCCCTCTTGATGATTTCAACTTAAGTGTACTCTGAAGTAAAATATAAATATTTTCTAATAAAATAATAATTTTTCACTTACCAACTAGACTTGTTCATTATTGGTATCAGCAAATTTCAATGTCTTAACTAACACAATTAAAATAAGTTGATATTTAATTAATAAGATAGTGATAATTTATGCATGTCTGAATACATCATATTCAAGTGCATAAAGGTAATAAAAAAAACATTTCTTTTTTGTTAAATAAATAGATTCCATTTTCATAGTGTTTTCAAACAAATTAAAACCATCATATAACAATTTTCATCTTTCATTAAAAAGTTGCCTAAAATATTAAAATAATACTGTATTCATTAAGTATACTTATGAATATAATAATTATTGTAACATATGTTTCAGCTGCTACAGTTTATAGTATACACACAATATAGGATACTTTACAGGTAGTATTTGACTATAAAATATAATTGGTTTAAATATTTAAAATAATGACTATTAAGAAACTAGATAAATAAAACAACAATAGGTAGTTTTGAAACAATTGAAAAAAATAAAACAATAATAAAATGTAACAATATAAATATAAGACCATCAATTGCCAATATACTAGACTTAATAATACTTGTCTTAAGTGCTATAAATATCACACTTAAACATAACTAAAATCACAATAGAAATGTTTTAAAACAGGAGAGATTTCATTATGTTGTACTTTTAGTAACAGTTTTATAGCTATGCTAAGATAATTGTGTTTTTTAATACATGATTGTACTCTTTGTGAACCAAGAAAACTAGTGTTAAATTATTAATTTAACTAAGCTATAGACCTTAAATATAAAATATATAAGATCTATAGGATGTTTTTTTAATTATATTTGTTATGTAAATGGATTGCTACGACTTTTTAATGAAGATCTTTTTATGTCACATTCAGCAGGCCGAACTACTTCAAAGGGTGAATAAACTGGAGCTTGGGACTCCTCAGCATCACTACTAGAGTAATCTTCGAAACTCATATTACTGAATCCACTATTTGTAGCTAATGTAGTTATCACTTTATTTGTTGCTACCTGTGTAACATTTTGATGAATAATTTTCATATAAATTGGCTCTTGTGGATCTAAATCCACTAAAATAGCTTCTTTTGGTTCAGATCTGAAAGGTATTTCGGCTGAATCTTCTTTTTCAAAATATACACTATCAGCAAAATCTGCCTGTTCAAACGGATTTGTGTTCAACTTGAAAGGTACAGAACCGAATAGATCTGAGTCGCTGTCTGAACATTTTTTTTTCGCCTTAGGAAATGGTGCCATTGCAAACACATCAGTATTACCTAAACTTTCATACTCTTCTCCTTCGTTATCCGAAATCAATGGTATTTCAGCATCAACATTTTTAACAGGTACAGGGTCACGAAGTCTGGTTGCTCCTAGAGCACTAGGTGGAGGAATATCATCTCGTGCCATGCTTTCACATTCAGCATGATAAGCTGAGGATCCACATGTAATCATACTGTCTTTTACTGTCATAGTTTCAGGAATGTTTTTGTTTGTGTCTTCCTCGTCATTACGAGTTTGGAGATCACTTGCTGATCCAATAGAATCATCATCAGATTGGTCATAGTCATTCTGATGTTTTTTATTTTTTTTGTCCTTTCGGAAACGACTATTTGATTTAAATTCGGGAATTTTTCTTCGTTTTGAAGATTTTTTCCTAGTTTCACCACTCGCCACTTGACTATCGTCTGAAGAAACTTCATCAGTATTGCAAGCTAATTTTTCATACTTTGAGCGATCTTCGAGCGGAATTTTCACAAAAGGGGTTGATGAACATTCATTTGATTCCAATTCATCATCACTACGTGTTGTTGCTACTAGGCCTGTAGCAATCTCGTCACTGTCGGGTTCATTATTTAATATTAATCTGTCTAATTTCAAATTGTGTTCAATGAAATAGGTTTTCCACTTTTCAGCATTTTTTTTAAGATCAGTGCCTAAAAAATTAAGAGATGATAGACAAAAAACACTAATAAATTCAAATTAACAATATAATATATTTAAAATAATAATATATCCAACATTTAACATGCAATTTTATAAGGTATATAAGATTATAAGTTAATTACTACTATAAGAAATATAAAATGAAACTAAGTAGAACAGTAGTTGTCGTAGAAGGTAAATAATTCATGCATATATTATCACCGTTACTCGTATCTATGATATGCACCATTTATGGTGAGACATTGTTAAATGTGTATCAATCCTGATTCCCATCATGTCGCAAACCTACAAAGAACCAACCAACAAGCACCATATTACCAGATAAGAGTTTTAATGGTTGTTAAATAGCACAAGCATAGTTAAATCAGCAAACAAGTATTATATTTTTTAAGATACGAAACAATTTACATTAGTTACAACTATTTATAGTTTTATCTTAAGGCCATTAAATTAGAAAAAATTAACTTAAGAACATTCATGCTGATAGAAAATTGTATAAAAGTATAATTATGTGTTAGTAAAATGAAGAAATCTAATAAGGAGGTTTCCAAGCTCAAGATATAATTTGCAATAATATCCCTTTATAAATATATTTTAGTTTAAAATAAAATTTACTAGATGAATAAAAAAATGACTATTTAGTATAATAAACTTAGTGTAAAGAAAGTATGAAGATAATAAAATATTTATGTATACAGTAGAAGTTGTTTATTAGAAACACAAATAATTGATGCAATTACGTTATTGAAACAAAATGTCTAAGAACGGACCAGTCGTACATTAACACATTGTTAATTAATTGGATTATCAAAACTACATATCGGTTATTAGAAACAATTAGGGCTATTACATTATTTTATGAAGTTACAATTAATACTGAAATTCATTGAACCAAACTGATCACCCAATACTCATCCTCTATTGTTTTTAATGTGAACAAGACTGGGCTTAATTTAGAGCCTCACTCTAACACACATACTACATAGGTACATACTCAAAAGTGACAGAGCAAAAGAAGAGCAGACTCAGTTTTGTGTTGAGCCAGTATGAACAGGGAAAAATGATATCGAGAAATACACATTTTACATGGTACAACCTAATTTTTTTTTCTTAGTAACTACTTTTTAAAATTTTTCTTCATAATAAACAAAACCAATAGCTTATTAATCGGTTAGTTGGCATACTTCACCTTGGTCCAAAAATATTTCTAATAAGCGGCTTTACTGTATGCATAAATACTAAATAGTAAAAGGTTGAACATATTTAATAAATATTTCATTATAAATGTATTATACTAATAAAAAGAAAATAATGACATTATTCCTTTACATTTTACTTATTATTTTAGAAAATAGTTGCATGAAAGCTAGTCAGTAAACAGATAGGTATATTATGTTCCAAACATAAATGTTATAACGTGTATGAATTATTTCACTATCTAATAAAAAATAAAATACATTTTACTATTTAACATTTAAATAAGAATAGTTATCTCATTGAACAATGTCTATCAAACCTAATCTATTTAACTATTTATTAGTATTAACTATTAGCTATAAGCTTCTAATCATAATAACTCAATATACAAGCATAAAGTGTAAACAATATGATAAATTATTCTATCATTTATTTACAAGTTCAATTTAGCCATTTATTATGCTTAATAAATTTAAGTTTTTTTAGAGTTAAAATCATAGAATTTAGTTAAATTTTATAAATTTATATTATATACATGAAAATGACTATTTTTAATTTTATTATTCACTTAAAAACTATTGCTTTACTGTTAAGGAAACCTCCATAATAGTATTTTGTTAAAAGTTGCAGTAAAATATGATAGAAAAAAAAATGTACTTACCATTAAGTGACATTTTTCTTATTGGACTATTCCCTATAGATTCATCTATACCTAAAACATAATATCATATTTTATAACAATTGATTTTAATTAAATACTTTTATTTTATAGTTAATTAATTAAAAAAACAAATACAATTTTACTAACTTTTGTAAGGAAATGGTGCAGAACCAAAAGGATCTTCATCAGTTACATTGGATTTCACTATTTTAGCAGCACTTTCTTGAGTTTTTCCATTAACTTCATCTAAAAATTGAATGTTTAACTAAAATAAAATAGTGTACTAATGGTACAGATTTTAATAAATTATTAATAAATATAATTTATATTAAAACTACTCAAATAACTTATTACCATTGTCATTTGAAGGGATTTGACTAAATGATGAGTTGAAAATTTCTTCACCAGTAGTTTGATAATTA